TACGCAAGGTTCACAGTCGAATCCCGCAAAAAGGTCGTTCACATAACGAGCACCGAATTAAAATAAAGAGAAAAAAATAAAGAGAAAAAAAAAGAGAAAAAAAAGTGCGCGAACATCGCGCTCAGGGTTGAACCGACGACTTGGTGGACAGACGGAGAGACGGAACGACGGACAGACGGACGCCGGATCGGCCTAAGGCCTCCGCTTTCCTACTTCGTAGGAGCTACGGCGACGGACAGACGGACGCCGGATCGGCCTAAGGCCTCCGCTTTCCTACTTCGTAGGAGCTACGGCGATGAAGCATATGAAGCATACGAAGAAAAAAAAAAGAAAAAAAAGTGCGCAAAAAAAAAGACGCCCGCGCGCCGGGGATTGAACCTGCGCGGGGTGGACAGACAGACGGACGGACGGATTAGAGCGCGCTGTTCGTGCGGGTGAGCCGTAGCTCCGTCGCTGCGTGCGTTGCACGGCGGTTAAGGGCGTACGTTACGTTACAGCATAGCGCGTACGGCATAGCGCATACGATGCGTACGGCGTGTATGTCACACACGCATTTCGTAGGAAAATTAAGCCGGCAGAGCCTAGCACGCAAATTTAGCCTGTCGGGCAGTGTGAAGCGCTCGCGCGGGAATCGAACCCGCGTACGGCATTCATATGAAGCGCGCATCGAAGTATGCGCTAAAGTGCGCGTCGAATTCCGCGGCTAATTGTACGTTGAATTGCGCGTCGAATTGCGTGGTTAGAGCTGTGCGAATCGCGCTGTATGAAGCGTGTACGGCATTCATTCCGACGCGGAAGCGCGTTTTTAAACGCGCATCAAATTATGCGATAAATCGCGCGTTGAACTCCGCGGCTAATTGTACATTGAATTGTGCATCGAATTGCGCATTTAGAGCTAGGTGAATCGTGCTGTATGAAGCGCGTACGGCATTCATTCCGACGCGGAAGCGCGTTTTGAAGTGCGCATCGAATTGTGCAACAAAGCGCGCGTTGAATCCCGCGTCTGAATGTACGTTGAATTGCATATCGAATTGCGCGTTTAGAGCTATGCGAATCGCGCTGTATGAAGCGTGTACGGCATTCATTCCGACGCGGAAGCGCGTTTTGAAACGCGCATCAAATTATGCGCTAAAGCGCGCGTTGAATTCCGCGGCTAATTGTACATTGAATTGTGCATCGAATTGCGCATTTCGAGCTAGGCGAATCGTGCTGTATGAAGCGCGTAC